ATATCATCTCCCATTCAGTAGGTTGCCTTTTTGCTGATGGTTTCCTTCACTGCAAAAGTTTTTCATTTTGGTGTAGTCTCAATAGTTCAATTTCACTTTTATTTCTCTTGCCCGAGGAGTCCTATCTAGAAAAATGTTTCTATAGCTGATGTCAAAGAAATTAGTGGCTACATTTTCTTCTAGGACTCTCATGGCTTCAGGTCTCATGTTTAGGTCTTTGACCCATTTTGAGTTTATTTTTGTATATGGTGTGAGGAAATGGTCCAGTTTCATTCTTTTAAATGTAGCTGTCCCATTTTCCCAGCACCATTTGTTGAAGAGACTGTCTTTTCCCCATTGTGTGTTCTTGCCTTCTTTGTTGTAGATTAATTGACCATATGAGCATGGATTTATTTCTGGGCTCTCTATCCTGTTCCCTTTATTTATGTATCTGTTTTTGTGCTAGTACCATACTGTTTTGATTAATACAGCTTTGTCTTTTGATTAATACAGCTTTGTGATATATCTTAAAATCTGGGATTGTAGTAACTCCAGCTTTGTTCTTTCTCAAGATTGCTTTGTCTATTTGAAGTCTTTTGTGGTTCCACACAAATTTTAGGATTTTTTATTCTAGTTCGGTGAAAAAATGTTGGCATTTTGATAGGGATTGCATTATATCTGTAGATTGCTATGGTGGTGTGGACATTTTAACAATATTGGTTTTGTTTTGTTTTTTTTTAAAGATTTTTATTTATTTATTTGACAGAGAGAGACACAGCAAGAGAGGGAACACAAGCAGGGGGAGAGGGAGAGGGAGAAGCAGGCTTCCCGCGGAGCAGGGAGCCCAATGCGGGGCTCGATCCCAGGACCCTGGGATCATGACCTGAGCCGAAGGCAGATGCTTAACGACTGAGCCACCCAGGCACCCAACAATATTGGTTCTTCTAATCCATAAGCATGGAATATCTCTCCATTAACGTGGCATCTTCAATTTCCTTCATCAGAGTTTTATAGTTTTTGGAGTACAGGTCTTTCATCTCCTTGGTTAAATTTATTTCTGGGTATTTTGTTATTTTTGTGTGTGTGCAATTGTAAATGTCATTGTTCTCTTGATTTCTTCTTCTGCTACTTGATTCTAGAAATTCTCTCCATAGAGGGAATAGTTTGTAACTGCATTGTTGATAACCTGAGTGCCAGCTGCCATTTATTAAATAACAACGTAGTTTTAGTCACTGCTTAACTTGGAATGTAGGATTCCCAAATAGAACATAAAAATGCGAGGGGCACCTGGGTGGCTCAGTCGTTAAGCGTCTGCCTTCGGCTCAGGTCATGATCCCAGGGTCCTGGGATCGAGCCCCGCGTCGGGCTCCCTGCTCTGAGGGAAGCCTGCTTCTCCCTCTCCCACTCCCCCTGCTTGTGTTCCTGCTCTCGCTGTGTCTGTCTCGGTCAGATAAATAAATAAAATCTTAAAAAAAAAAAACTTTAAAAAAAACACATAAAAATGTGAGGTATTTTTGTTTTATAGTTACCATACTTCTGAGTAGACCACATTAAGACAATGTTTAATTTGGCCTAAGTTACCAGGTTTTTTTAATTGTACTTTTATTCCTACCAAGTTTGAGCTACACTAAACACTAAAAAGCTATTAGTAATTAGTCATGTTCTGTTAGGATTTGCTTAAAATGACAAAGTGCTAAGTTCTCACAAGTGTAAAGCTCCAAATAACTGGTCAAATTATTATACATAAAAAAGGAATAAAATAAAAAAGTCTATTCTTCAAAAGTGTTTTGGTGTTGATTTAGAATATGAAGGAGGTTCTTGTTTTAAGGTTTAACTTTTGAAGAGAGGCTTTTTGAAAGAACAGACTATAACCTGGGATATTAGGCATAAGGATAGCCCATAAAATAACAAAGGGGAAAATGTGTTAGTGTTTTAGAACAAGGGATTTAGAATCACATTGTCTAGATTTTTATTCCAGATCTGTAGCTAAGTCACTTTCACTTTGTTGTTGTTGTTTTAATATTTATTTATTTATTTGAGAGCACATGCTCGAGACGGGGGAGGGGGCAGAGGAAGATGCAGACTCCCTGCTGAGCAGGGAGCCTGATGAGGTACTCGATCCCAAGACCCTGGGATCATGACCTGAGCCGAAGGCAGACGCTTAAGTGACTGAGCCACCCAGGCGCCCTCAAGTGATGATTTTTTTTCTTTCTTTTTTTTTTAAGATTTTATTTATTTGAGATAGAGTGAGAGAGCGCACACGCAGGAGCAGGGGGAGCAGCAGGGAGAGGGAGAAGGAGACACCCCACTGAGCAGGGAGCCCAGTGTGGAACTCGATCCCAGGACCCTAGGATCATGACCTGAGCCGAAGGCAGATGCTTAATGACTGAGCCAGCCAGACGCCCCTCAAGTGTTGCTTTTCAACAGGATGAATTTTTTTTTTTAATTTTTTATTTATTTGACAGAGACACAGTGAGAGAGGGAACACAAGCAGGGGGAGTGGGAGAGAGAGAAACAGGCTTCCCGCCGAGCAGGGAACTTGATGCGGGGCTCAATCCCAGAATCCTGGGATCATGACCTGAGCCGAAGGTAGACGCCTAACGACTGAGCCACCCAGGGACCCCTCAACAGGATGAATTCTATTGTTCAGCACCATTTCTGTTTTAGGAGATTTACTTCTCTACTCATCAGTTAAGGGGCAGTCTGACATCATGGATAGCTTATAACTCTAGAAACCACAAAACATGGGATACATGCTTGCAGGTCTGCCACTAGGGCAAGTCACTTCTCTGGTTCCCCAATTTTTTATTTGTAAAAAGGTGGGATTGGGCTAGAGTGGACCCTAGAGATCCATTTTATCAAGTGTTATCTAGGTTTTTGTTTTCTGTAGTCAGCCATATAATTAGAAATATGTGTTGTGTGTATGTATTCATGTATATGTATCTTGAGAGTTTTATTAAAAAAAAATAGATTTGATTTTGGGGCGTCTGAGCGGCTCAGTCGTTAAGCGTCTGCCTTCGGCTCAGGTCATGGTCCCAGGGTCCTGGGATTGAGCCCCGCATCGGGCTCCCTGCTCTGCGGGAAGCCTGCTTCTCCCTCTCCTTCTGCTCATGTTCTGTTTCACTCTCTCAAATAAATAAATAAAAAATCTTTAAAAACAAAAAACCCAGAAATTAGACGATTTTCCTAATTAGCAGGCACTGACCAAACATAAGATTCTTGTGTGCTGCTAAGATCTTTTATCTGAAGGCTGCCCACTGTCAGTGACACAAGCTTGGATCATTCAGTAATTTTAATTGCAGTTAAGTATACTTCATTATGTAAATATAATTAAATCAAGAAACTGGGGCATTTTAAAGAAAGACTGACAGAACCAGTACAGCTATGTAAATGGCTTCTATAGATTGACTAAGGTTTAAATCATATTTAATTCCCTTAGCCAAGCAAAGACCCTCTTGACTCACTGCTGTGGTCATACATGCTGATAGAGCTCATACACATGCATATCTGATCATGTGGCCCAGTGTTAGCAAATCTTGGATTTCTCTGCACTAGATGATTTTCCAGGATTAACAACCAATGATTCTAAGTCACAGATTGTTCCGTTTTTTCTCCTTGATCGGCCTTAAAAATAAAGACAACTATTGAAAAATATAAAGCAATCCTCCCCTTTCCTTTATCACTAATATGCTCCCTCAATCTCAAGTACGTTTTCCTTTGACCATTGAGAACAAAGTAGAATGTTTTGTAAAAAAAAAAAAAAAAAAATGCAGACTGTACAGGGAAATTAATACAATATAAGAAGACACATTATATTTAGATTGGGAAAGAAAAACTTATTTTTTGAGGTCAGTAATTGGAGCTAAGCCATAAGTGTCTGAATTCTCAATGATTTGCAAATGCTTACTGACTTGGAAAAAAATGTGTATGTTGAATTCTTTTCATTTTCCACTGGCTTGTAAAGGTTAGGATTATATTACGTCTCTTCCCCCTCCATCCACCCTCTAAAAAAAAAAAAAGCTACAATAGCTTCCCTGTTAGATGAAATCGAAATTTCTTGGCCTATCATTCAAAACCCTTTATATCCCAGCCCCCACCACATTTTCAATTTTATCTCCTATTTATTCCCTTCTCTGTACCTTCCCCCAACTCTGGCTTCCAGGGGTTCTCCTTACTTCCTAATACACCTGCATTTTCACACCTCTGCCTGTTTGCTTTGCCTGCTCACCTGACCTAGGATGTCCTTTTTCCTATTCAGTCTACTTGACAAACTCCTGCCCCTTCTCCCAGATCCAGCTGAGGTGTTGCCTTTTTTTTTTTTTTAAGATTTCATTTATTTGACAGAGAGAGACACAGCGAGAGAGGGAACACAAGCAGGGGGAGTGGGAGAGGGAGAAGCAGGCTTCCCGCTGAGCGGGGAGCCCGATGCGGGGCTCGATCCCAGGACCCTGAGATCATGACCTAAGCCGAAGGCAGACACTCAACGACTGAGCCACCCAGGCGCCCCGGTGTTGCCTGTCTTAATAAATCTGTCTGCACCCTTTCCCCAGGCAGGTATGTCCCTCACCTGTGCTCCCATTCAGAGCACTTCAAATGACAGCATTATTCACACTGTGTGGGAATTTTACCCCCACATTCTCCTACCACTGCTACTCTCTTTAGCAAGGACCACGCTTTGACTATATATATATAACCTTGGCATCTAATACATAGTGGACATTCAATAAAAGCTTGCCAAAGTGAATAAAAACATGGGTGCATATATCGCAGGAGGAGAAATATCCTGAGTAGATAAAATATGTTTTCTTTTCATTCATTATATATAATTTGGAGAATACAAAAAATACCAAGGAGGAAATGAAATTGACCTATAACCCTACTGAGAGATCATGTTAACAGCTTAGCATACCTATTTCCAATTAAAGCATACTTTGAAGAGGAACTCTGGTTTTTAAAATTAGAAAATTACCTACATGCATAACAGATGATCCTAATTCTTGACTTTGCTGTTTCTTTGTTAGCTCACAGAGAGAATAATCATCCTCTTTGTGGTGATCACCAGTCAAGAGGAAGTCCAAGAGAAATATGTGGTGTGTGTTTTATTCATCTTTTGGAATCTATTGGATATGGTTAGGTAAGGAGGCAAAATAATCTCTTAAATCCAAGTTGCTTTTCTGTTAGTAATAGCTGCCTACATTTGGTTACCCTGAATGAGAGAGAAAACCCCTTTGCAAATTATTTTATCTTGATATGGAAATGTATTCTTAGCGCTTTCCATAATGGGCATATCAGAGGTAATGCAAACCTCCCGTGGTATTACAAGAGCAGATCAGTGCATTCAGTTTTCCAGCAGAAGACTTGGCATAGCACCACTTTGGGATAAACCTCACAGCTGCTTGCTAATGAAAGGCATTCCTTGAAATTGCTCTGGTACATTTTACTCTAACAAGCAAAGCAAGACTTCTATTATGTCATAGTCAGGATTTACAGAGTTGGTTTCTGTGAATTCCAGAATACTTTAAACACAGGGCCTCATCACTGTGGTGAAGAACGCACCTCCATATACATTTATTTTGTATTTTTTATTGAAGTATAATTAACTTTTTTATTGAAGTATAGTTAACTTACATAATGTTAGTATTAGTTTCAGGTATATGACATACTGATTGGAGAGTTTTGTTTTGTTTTTTAAAGATTTTATTTATTTGACAGAGCAAGCACAAGCAGGGGGAGCAGCAGAGGGAGAGGGGGGAGCAGCAGAGGGAGAGGGAGAAGCAGGCTCCCCACTGAGCAGGGAGCTCGACGTGGGGCTCGATCCCAGGACCCCGGGATCATGACCTGAGCCGAAGGCAGACGCTTAACCAACTGAGCCACCCAGGGGCCCCTGATTGGACAGTTCTATACATTAATCAGTGCCGACTATGATAAGTGCGGTCACCCTCTGTCACCATACAACATTATTACAATATTTTTGATTATATTCCCTATGCTGTACTTTTCATCACCATGGTACATTTTATATACAATTCCAGTGGGTCCAAAAGACTTACTGAAGTTATTTTGTGGATTCCCTCTGAATCCTTGAACCTCAGATTAAGAACCTTTGCTCTAGATCATCTTCAGTTTCCTTCTGTTTCTAAAACTTTGCAAAGAGATGGGTCCAGCAGTGGGGTAAACAGTCGCCTTTGCTCAGAGGCTCATCTTGGGGAGGTGTCCTAACTGCTACTTTGGCTTTCACAAATGAGAACTGCCCCTCCCACTTGCAAGATCTGGTTGTGGATAGGTAACAAAAGCACCCTAGCATTTTAGCTGAGGTTATGTGAATTACTCATTTATTAAATTGTCAGTAACTTAGCTGAATTAAAGTATTTCTAAATAATGGGGTGAGCCCTAGAGTGAGTTAGAATGAAATGTTTTGTTGAATGAAAAGGACTATCATTCCTTGTATATATAATTTAGGAAGTTATTCCTCATTTTTTAACTGATAGTTTTGTAGACCTGGGGCGAATTTCATGGACTTTTGTAGCCCATGACTTTCTGTTCATGAGACAAGGAGCCCCATCTGGGACTGGGACTTTTTGACATATTGTTCTCTGGTACGCCTGACTCTTTCAGTGTCGATTCAGTCTCTGATAAGCTCAGGTAAACCCATTAGAGAACAAAATGATTTTAACATTGAGAGTAGTATCATGATGTCATGGAATGGCTTTTTAACAGAGGAGATCTTAGGGATGACTCCCACCTCCACTGCTTGCTATATAATCTTGGACATACCACTGAACCTTCAAAAACAAAAGAATTGAGATAATTCATGTACTGTGATATTCACCCTTTATTTTTTAATTAATTAGAGCGAGAGTGAGAGTGGGGAGGGGCAGAGGGAAAGGGAGAGAATCTTAAGCAGGCTCCACGCTCAGTGTGGAGCCAGATATAAGGCTCAGTCTCAGGACCCTGAGATCATGATCTGAGCTGAAATCAAGAGTCAGACACTTAAGTGACTGAGCCACCTAGGCACCCAACATTCACCCATTTAAAATAGAAAATTTGTGGGTTTTAGTGTATTTAAAGATGGGTAACTATCATCACTAATTTGAGGACATTTTCACTGCACTCTATAAAGAAACCCCAAAGCTCTTAGCAGTAAAATCCCCATTTTCTCCTCTCAGTCCCTGGCAACCACTAACATACTGTCTCTATGAATTTGTCTATTCTGGACATTTCATATAAATGGAACCATTCAATATGTGGCCTTTTGTGACTGATTTCCTTCACTTAGCATAATGTTTTCAAGGTTTATCCATGTTATAACATGTATCAGTATTTCATTCCTTTTTATGGATGAATAATATTCCATTATAGCGATATACCACTTTTATCCATTCTTCAGTTGATGGACATACTTTTTGGTTATGAGGAATACTGCTATGAACATTCATGTACAAGCTTTTGTATGCACATAGGCTTTCATTTCTCATAACTTAGAAGTGAAATTTCTGAGCACCTAGCCTTTTTGAAACTTTTTTTTTTTTCTCTGTTAAGTTGGGGTGGAATTATCTTCCCAACTTACCCTAAAATGACTTTTTTTTTTTTTTTTTTTTAAGGCAAGGACTAGAGGGATACCTGG